CTGTTCCCCTTCCCCAGAACCCGGATGGACTCCACGGTCTGGATGGGCTCTCCCGACATCCCCCTGCTCGAGGCGTTGTGGTAACCCAGCGTTTCGATGGGGGCCCCCTTCTCCTCGGTGCTGTCGGGCAAGTCCAAGCAGGAGGAGGAGACCCTGGTCTCTATGCGGTAGTGCTCCTCCTGCGGCTGCGGCTCTCCCTTGGGAGCTCCGGCTGGGCCGTGGCCGGACAAGCTCACCCCCTCGCCGGAGCTACTTTTGGCAATCTGGCCAAAATGCTTCTCCTCGGAGGGCTTACGGGAGGCGTTTTTGAGCATGTTCTTGAACTCGATGGTCGACGTGGCGGAAATGGAAGAACCCAACGATTTCTCCACGCTTGCCGCGGGCGCTCGGCCCGCGGGGCTGGAGAGGGCGTTTTGAGGAGAGAAAAGCGAGCGGTGGGGAATCGAGTGGGGCGAGTCCGGGTATTGCTTCTGCGAGAGGCCAGAGTGCACCACCGATTTCGGTAAGTTGTTGTGATTGGAGTCCGGCGTGAAAAACACGTCGTTCTTGCCGGGCGAAGGGGAGCCGTCCGAGGTGGAGTCGTTTCCCCTGAGGCCGTAGCTCCCGTACATCCCTGGAGACGACGCCAGCGGGTCGCAGCTCTCGCTCTGATCGAGAATAGACCTCATCGACTGAGGGAAGGACGACTTCACGCCAAACTCCTGCGATCTTTGACCGTAGCTGGACAGGACCGGCTGGTACTCTGCAGCTTCAGAGAGTTTACTCGATTTCAAGATAGACTTGGCGGGCTTCTTCTCCAGGTTTAGCATGGCCGACGGCGGCGGCCCGGAGTAATCGAAGTCGCGGTAATCTTCGTCTTCTTGAAAAGAGGTGTCCGGGTAAAACTTCTCCTGGGAGGAGTCCATTAACGAGGAGGGTATCTCCATGCTGTCTGCAGACTGCTTGTACAGGCCGGCCGGAGACTCTCTGCCGAGGCCGAAGGGCCGGTAGGCGTGCACAGAATTGGAAAGTTCTTGGGGATATCCGTCGTCCCGGCTCTGAAGAGGTGACCTTGTGCTGCTGGGAGTAGAAGAACCGGGGCTCATGATTTTCGACAGAAGGGAGATAGTGTCGACGTTGCTCGACGTCGGCTTATCCATCATCTCGTCCTGGGTGGGCGTCCCGCTTCGCTCATCGCGCACCGGTGTTCCGTCCACATTGTCCATGGAAGTGCTGGTAGGACCACGCTGGAAGTCAGACGCGTGACTTTCCGTTGCGATGCTGGACCCTAAGCTGCTGAGAATTGGAATATTCAAGTTCAGACCGCTGAAGCCGGGATTTCCCTTCAAGAAATTGTGTATCTTCATCTCCAGGCTCGGAGAAGGGGGCTCCGATTCCAGCTTCGCTTTTGAAATTTCGGAGGATTGACCCAGTGAGGTTTCTGTCGGCAAAAGGGAAGAAGGACTGGTAGGGTGAGAACTGGAAAATCCCAGGGAATTGGCTGGCGGCTTAAAACTGGAGCTTGACAGCCCTGGGGTATGTCCAACGGGAGCCTTATTAACTGAAGTTGAGGAAACCTCAGCAGTAGACGAGTTCGGAGAATAACCAAAGCTTTTGGATATAAAGGACTGAGTATTGGAAGGAACGTTCCTCCCCTTCACGCAAGGAACAGTCGTGTTGGCTGGCGAGGCCGAAGTGCTCTGCGACGCAGTTTCGCTTGACTGAACGGTATTTCCAGCGACACTCTGAAGTAAGGATGACAAACCTGGAAAAAAAGAACGCTGCGCTCAGATATTCAGGTAAGAGGCAAGTCAACTCGAGCCGCTGTCAAGGGAAAGGTTTCGGCATTTGTACCGCAGACGTCGTTCCTTAAAACGACTTCAGGTTTTAGCCAGGAAAAATGACTGGATTTTGCTGCATTACTATTGTCGTTAGCACCCACCGAGGTGCAAGCTTTTGCCAGAGGCTCAGATCGATCCATAAATATAAATTAAAACATACATCTGAATAAGTTGGGTAATAACTCACCCTGGCTTTGTAGCCAGGCGTAAAAAAAAAAAAACCCCACTGCATTGCTGACCAGGGTTACACATGCAAGGTGCAGAAGCAGGAGCGGCACCTCTGGGAAGCTTTCTGCTCTGAAAAAGCGCTCTCAGAAGCACGGGGGAAACCACAAAGACCTCTCGGTCTCCCATCCCGTTCAGTGCCCTTCCACGAAGTGTTCTGGATAAGCGCGCTTCGGTCACGGCAAAAGTACGAAGATGGACAGAGAAGTAATAAAACTCACGGGTCCGTAACACGTCTGCTACCTGAGGAAAAGTCACCTGGCGTTTGCCAAAGACTTAATACAGTCCAAAAGAGTTTTTCTCCCTTCATTTTCGCTTTAGGATAAGCCCAGCAGCACGTTTCAGCGCGGCCACTGCCATCAACTACACAGTTAGCCACTCCCTCAAGACCCACTCCGGTACCTTGCAATGCTGGTGCAGTCTGAGTCTGGGTTTTGGAGAGAGCAGACAAAATACTTTCAGGAGTTATTTCAACTTTGGAGAGAATATTTGCTAACGGATTTGAAGGAGCAGACGGAGTCCCCATGACAGGAGTCTTCAGGCCACTAGTAAGAGCTGTTGGGCTCGTCGGGGTTCCCGGGGAAGGTCTCGAGGCAGGACTGACACCTAGGACGGAAGCACACACCACTCACTCACGTTGCTTCGTTAACGGAAGCTTTTTTTTTTTTTGGCTCAAGTTCTCCACAGATACAACTGCAGCAGAGCCCCACTGAGCGTGAGCGAGGAGAGGCTCACAAAGCCGACAGTCGTGTGTCAGAGACTGAGCCAGATCTCTTAAGTAGTAACTCATTCGTGTTTATTTTGAGACAATTAAAGCTTCAAAAGATTACAAAACAAAACTCCATTGTTAGCTCCATTAACCAGACACCTGGGCTTAGCACCGCTTCAGCACTCACCTGTATTTTTCATTACGGAAGTTAAACTGCTAAGAATGGAGCTGATCTTTGCCAGGTCCACGTTGGCCAGGTTGGGCAACGCAAGCGCTGGCGACGGAGGGACAGGCGGCGCGCTCACCGCCTTCGGAGCCGGAGGAGTCGGAGGAGTCTGAGCAGGTGTCGTCACCGTCGCCGAAGTTGTGCCTGCAGCAGCAGTAGACGGCACCGCTTTGGGGACGCTTTCAGGCTTCGCGGGTGCCGAAGCTGGAGCAGCCTGCTTCTCCTTCCTCTCTTCCACTTGAGGGAAAACAAGACCAGAACCGTCACTCTGAGCAACCTGACCTAGCGGAGGATGTCCCTGCCCACGGCAGGGGGGTCGGGACTAGACAGCCTTCAAAGGTCCCTTCCAACCCAAACCCTTCTGTCATGCCCTATCCCCGAAGGCGTTTCAACGGGATCCTCATCTGACCCCGGTTAAGGGCACGTAAGGTCTGATTCCCGCAGGCTACATAAAAACGTATTTCGAGGAGTGGTTTGGGAGGTGGGAACAATCACGGCTGGATCGGGACTTCCCTCCTTGTGCCAGGGGACTGGGGCAGGAGATCGAAACCCAACAGCACCGATCCGCAGCCCAACAAGGGCTTTGCGCATCCGCTACACCCCAAACGGGGCTTGAAAGGGCCGTTTTGTCTCGATCCAATTTCTACACAATTACTCCGCTGCTCCCGCAGAACGTACCGATAATTTTAGACGTATCATCCTCCACATCAGAGAGCTCCATGTCTTCCACATCCCGATTATCCGTCACGGGCTCCGGAGATAGCGTCTTGCGGCTTCCAACCACCGGAGACCGGGAGTTATCCTCCTCCCCCATCCCCTGAAAAGGGGACTCGGAGCCCGTCGGAGATGGGGCGTCCATACTTGGAGAAGGGACGGGAGACTCCTCCGGATCAGGAAGCGTCGCTTTCAACTGGTCTAGCTTTTTCTTGAGATTGCTCACTCGATTAGCAAATGTTTTATAAGCCTAAGAAAGAAAGGACGTCGGACTGAGTATCTTTTATAGGAAGAGAGCTTGCCTCAATCACTTCCCTAACCGAAGTAACGCACAGCCTTAGAAAACCACTTCGAATTACCCATCCCCTGCTGCGAGAAGCCTGCAGTAAGAACTCAGCTTTTCAGTGTGACTTGCAGAGCAAGGGCCACAAAAAAAGGGGAAGATCAAACCTTTTTCCGATGACTTGAAACAATTTTCACAAATATGCTGCCGGTTTGGGGTTTTTTTTGGTAGGGTTGGGGGGGGGTTGGTTGTTTTTACAATGCTTTACCGAATTCTTTCTTCGTTTGTTCATCTAGTTTGCACGCTGATCACAACTTGTGCAGTTTCTAGAATTTAGGATTTGTTAGACTAACCGTGATTTTGGCCCCCGTTTAAAAATGCAGAAGGGCTACAAAATTCCAGCGACACACAAGAACTGAGCTCCTGACCCATGGATTTTCGTAGCGTCTCCTTTTCTTGCCCGGCACCTCAACTCTGCTCTCTTTTCAGAGAGAGCCTGTACAACAATCGCACCAAACTTCCCCATTTGTGAACAGCGAGATGATGCGTTTTCTAGCCTCTGGGATGCTTAGCAAACGCAGGCGGACATCAGTCCGCCCGAGGAGGGTCGAGGAAAAGTATACTTACATTTGCTACCACCTTGACTTCTTTATACTGCGCTTCATAAAATATACCGGCGTTCTCCAGGGCTTCAGTGAGAGAGGGGCCATTTTTCACTTGCTTGTCTAAGCCATTTACAAACTCTTCCAGCTTTGAACTTGCTTCTTCAAACTCCTTGGAGAACTTCTTTCCTCCTGTTTTGTCTGCAAGGAGATAAGCACCGCGGAAATAAGCTGCCATCGGCCAAACGGGAAATCAGCTCTCAGAAGCGCGTCCTCAACAGCAGCAACCGGGACGTTCAGACAATAGACACGGCATCACGCCGTACGCTCCCCAGACCGCCCCGTCCACCCGTCGGTATCCATCGAAAAAAGAGGCCAAGTTGCTAGCGACAAGTTTTTCAACTCGTTATTAGTGATAAATAAGTTCAAAACACAGAAGTGTAAAACTTTTTTTACTCTTTCGACTACCCAGAGAGCGTACTTTCACTTTGGAAGAGGCAAAAATCTTGAGCGCTCTCTTTCCTTCGTTACCACATTCAAAGGGTTCCTAACATCATCGGGGTTCACAACGTCGATGCGTTACCACGACCGTGACCCTTCTCAAAGACCGCAGTCACGGATTACCAAGCGCAGCTAGGGCTACCTGCAGTTTTACAGCTAAATTTCCTGTTAATACGGCTCAGCGTAACTCGGTTCATTCACCCCTAACACGCGCTGCTTCCTATTGGACTCACAGTTGGCATTCTCAAACTGTAGCCATTGATGGATGCCTTAATTAACTTAAATCCGAAATTATTTAAGGAGTTCTGAGCACATTAAGAACAATGCACGTTCCAATGATATACGAGGGCGTGTTTGAGTAGTACAAAATACATCTTCATCATTTCTGCTTTGCTTGAGCTCTGTATCCGCGGGTTTCTACGAACAGGTTCAAATTAACAGAGGCTTTAGGCTCCTGCTCGGTCGTTCTTAACTGCGCTTTGAAATTTTGGCATTTTAGAGACTCAGTCTGGTTTCTGGTCTAAGGCTCAACAGAACCGAGGAGCTCCTACAACCGTTAGGGTACGTCATTTGCACCTCCTTCAATTACATCGGGTTTCATACGTTATACGCTGTCTTTACCTTTTAAGCATTTAAGTGTTTCAGTGCTGCACACATCCACTCTCATAGTGGAAAGCTGCTTCTCTTTCAGTTCTATCTGGTCTTCCGAGCGCTTGTATAACAGCAATTCATCAATGAGAGACTGTGGCTGGAAAAAAAAAATCAAACAAGAAAAGCATCCTCATCACATTCCGCGGGAGAGAAGCCCTGCTGCACAGAGCTGACAGCACAGGCCTGCTTCAGCCACAAACAACGCCCCGGTTCAAGACCGTTTCCGAAGGCAGAAACGGCCCGTGCGAATCTCTGGATTTTCAACCTCAAGTCAAAGAGATCAGCGGACTCGGGCTCAGGCAGCGGCTGGAATCCTACAAGCCTCCTGGCTATGATGGTTAAGAGTAGGGACAGGCCTTTTTTATTTTCTTTTTTAACTCTACCAGTGCCCATGCATTTCGTTAACGCACCGCACTCCTTTGGGGGACCTAATTTAGATAAATTTCTTGCCACCAACTCCTCAGCCACCCGAAACTCCTCCTTCACCAGGGCGACCTGACCGCACGCCTCGGTCAGCGCCATCCGTAACAGCCAGCCCCTCTTTAAGCGTAGGACCCGTGGATTTCACGCAGCTCCGGAGAAGGCAAACTGCTCTCTTGTACGAGGTTACCCCAAATGAAAACCAGCGTTTCCGCGGGGAGCCTCTGCGCCGCTCCGACTGCTTTCCAGGTGCCTTGTTGTCCGTAACAGCGCGGGGAAGGGGCGGCAGCCCTAACAAAACCTACAACTGAAACGTCTAGGAGGCATTATATGCCAAGGAACAAAAAGACACTGAGCACTAGAGCTTCCCACCAAGCTTACGCTGCTGGTGGACGTAAGCGACACTAAAGCTACAGCCCAAGGACGGAGGTTAGCGCAACAGAATATTTCCACTTGCAGACTTACTCTGAATTCGGCAACAATCTTGGACTTCAAAGCAGCTTTCGGGTTTGTGGATGCTGTTGGAATAAAGAAAAAGTATGAAGAAACCAAGGAACTACACCCCGACTAAAAGTAAGTCACAAAAGGCAGTTCTAATAAAAAGATATTTTAACATAATTCAACAGAAGGCTCGCAGGCTGTTGTTACTCGTTACATTTTCCCCTCCACACAGATGTCCCTCAATGCTCTGGGCTTTCCATTAGCTAAACAGGACACGGTCACGTGCAGCCAGATTGTGACTGAGGTCAACAAATTATACTATGGCTTTTTATGGGTTTTTTTTTTTTTTGAACGTGCTATAAAAATTTACTGTGCCTACCTTTTCCAGCTCTACCGTCGGGACGACAAGTCCCTGCAAGGGTTGACCTAACAGCCTTACCCAGTGAGTTTATACCTCTCTACAAGGCGGTCAATGTTATTTCCTAAGTGCCAGACTTAGAGCTGACACACACAGCCCAGCGTTTCCTTCGGACGGGGTCTCCCTTCGGTACTTACTAGGCCTAACCACGCTCTCAATCTTAAAAACTTACACCTCTATTCTGACATCTTATTAACAGAGCGGGAGGAACGAATCCCACTGTCAAGAGACACTAAATCCATTGGTTTCTGGACAAAACAGGAGAAACATCTGGTAAGAAGCAAAATGCTAAACCCTTCATCCGTGCTGAATATAGCACCTTTTTGTTTGGGAAAGCAGCTTGTGATGTTAAGCCAAGTAATAAACGCTTCCAAACTCTTTTGTTAACCTTCTGATCTCAGCACTTGTACAGGCGGGCGCACGCCACATCTTACACCTAACGTTCCACCGTCTCGCTTTACGGACCATTCAAGGCTTTAGCGTGTAATGAGATTAGTAAGATCGGTATATTATAAATGCATTTCCTGCTAGACTGCACTCCCGGTACTGTCGGACGCCAGAGTTCATTATCTGCACTGCCAGCTTCCAGTTTTCTTTTATCCTAGCACCTAGTTTGCTGTTGAAGATGTGTTCCTGAGCACGAAGGTACTGTCCACCTCCTGCTGCCAAAGCACAGGGTTCTGTCTGTCTTCTCTCCATCTCTGAATAGTCTAACGCCAGTTTCCAAGAGGTTCCACCAGCTCTTTCCTCTACTGTTCATAACCTCTGCTCTCATAAAGATTTTTTTTTTTTTTTTCCATACTTCATTCCTTTAAAAAGTGGTTCTCTAGCAACAACTCCTTGGTGCTTTACATATTAGTCTGTAAGGAGCTTTACAAGCCTGGAAGACGCATGCTGGCTCATGTTTTAGTCCAGGTACTTTGCCCGGTTTGGGCTAGCCTTTCTTCTGCTCCTCAAGAAGGCAATTTCTATATTAATTCAGAGAGTTCACATTGTTTCCTTACTTTGCGATTTCTTCCACGGCTTATTCGGTTGTTTGTTCAGAGTTTCTTTCAGCTGCTTCTGAGTTTTGAAAGTGGTACCTGGAAAACATTTCATTTTTTGCAGTCTGGCATTATGGGATTCCTTTAAGAACCTGGTTTTGGTGCCATACGGTTGCACGGTAAAAGAGTGAACAGAAATTTGTTTTAAAATACCTAGACCAACTTCCTTAGCTGAGCTGCTGGATGCCCAAGAGAACCTAAGTTTACTCAGGAATACAGCAACCTGTGGGATGGTCTTCCATTTTTAAATCAAGTTTCTGTTTGCCCTTACACTAAGACAGTTCAAAAATCACAGTAATGAGCAGAGTGAAAAGGAAAAACACAAGGCATCTAAAAATAAAACTACACCGCTCGGCTCTTTAGGTAGGCTTTTACGAAATCAGCATTCAACAGGCAAGTAAATGCAAGTCGGGAAAATAGCCACCATACCTAATTTACAAGTCGCCTGAAATATTTTTGTTTTCAAGTTAGAAAAATTAGATTTCGGAACGTATGTGTAAACTTCACTTCTCAACATGCAACGCCCAACTAAAGCCTTTTCACATGCCAAAGCCCGAACCCGAGACACCGTGTTTCTCCTGCCACGACGACGACCGGCTCTCAAAACCACACGTGAGGATTTCCTGAAGCACCTTTAGCTCTTAATGATGTAACCAAGTAAAGCAGAAACGTGGGCTAATTTCCTTCAAGTATTTGAGTATCGGCTAATTTCTGGTTTTGACTGACTACAACGTGTTCCCAGTTAACATTAGCCATTTCGGCTTTTAAGCAGAGTTCTTTCGTAAGCGCTCGAGGACACTTCACCCTCCAGCTTTGCTTCCAGCCTCTTTCCTATACCACAAATATTATTAGTAAAAACAACTTATTGCTAAAACAGACTAGAAAGGAAGGAAGCCGCCTCTGTTCCTCGCCCCACTGCGGCAGCTGAGAGTCGGCTCATGCTCAAAGGAAGAGCCAGGGACACAAGCCCTCTAGCAGGGCACCGTGTTCAGGACTTGTAGGACCACTTTACCTTCCCGTTCTGTTTAATCTCAGCTGGAACAATTCCAGCTTACGTGAAAGGATTCGGAGCTGTCTTTAGAAAGGTACAAAAACCGTGAAGCAGCTGAATTCAGCGCTGCTCACGTACGACGCCCCGCTGCTTTAAGGTCTGTGCTAGATGCAGATGCGGGAAGAACAGATACGCACAATAAACTCATTTTACTCAGCGATTCCAGCCATTTTCTTTAACCTCATCAGGCTCACGCGTTAGTTTGTAAGGTAAGAAATGCAAAGGGTAGGTAACTTACTCAGAGCTTCTTTTAGTGCCAAAATGGTTTCCTCAGGGTACACATTTCTGTCCTCCCAGATTTTGAAGATTCTTTCGATAGATTTGGAAACGGATGGATCCCTGAAAAAGAAGAGCACACTGGGTTTTCTTTACCCTTACACTGTGATTTCTCCTCATTCTAGAACGGATAATAATGTAAATAATTATGTGTTTAAATCAAAACTTTAAAAGACCCTTCAGGCCGGGAAGTTCTCTCTCCAGGTGATGACTTTAGTTCTACTGCAAGGGGTCCCAAGGCAGCGAGTCCACATGCTTGGACTTAAGCGCACACACACTTCCGTATCGTAACGGATCGGGGCCACGGGCATGCCTTTCCGGGGTAAAATTAGAAGGTTTCAGAGTGGTAGGAACACCAATAGGATTTCTCTGAAGCCTTTCTTCATGGGGAAAAAAAAAAAAAAAGAATTGTTACTCTTCCAAAGCAGCTTTCTATACGGATGCTCTGGGAAAAGAGTGATTATTCCAGGGCAGGGGGGGAAATAAAACATGACTCTCTTCACAGAGGAGAGTAACTACTTCAGAGGGAAGTGACTGTATAGCAGGCAATCAGTGGTGTTGAACTTCATCAAAAAGACGAGCTCTCCCACTCATCTCTGATCACACCTCCCCTCTGTGCCTAGCAGCATCAGCCTTGGGAGTTAAGCAATGTCATCTGTAAGAATCTCCAAAGAAAGAAAGAAAAGGAGACGGCCTGGTGTCAAACAGCGTATTTCAGCCGGATGCTTCTGTTTCAAGGAAAAAAACGGACAAATAAAACGTCTGTAAGCAACCGCTCTCAGAGTGCGTTCTCCCAGACCCAAGGGACAGCTCTTGGGATAAGAGAGGAAAAACGCCTGACCAGACCACTCATCACCCCGCTAATCATCCAAACGAAGAACGCTTCCTGCAAAGCAACCCGAATTAAAAGTTCACGCGCCCCGAATTTAGCACTCCGAGGGCAGCGCGCGAGCCCAAACCCTGCCAGCAACCAGAAGCGACTGCCCCAGAGGACTCGAGCTCGGAATAATAAACTCTAATTGGAAAGCAGAGCTGCCACCACCGCTTCCCTGTGGGACCCGGGCGGCAGCTGGCACCGCGGCAGGGCTTCAAACCCAGAGCAAAGGAGCTGCTCCGCGCCCTCGGGCGGTGGGTGCTCTCCCAGGCAGAGCTATGGAAGGAAGGGTGCTTCACGGAAGCGTTTGGGTCGGGAGAGACCTTTTTAAAGACCACCTGAGCAGCCGTCCGACTCGCCTTTGAGCCCTGCTGCGTTCGCGTTCCAGCTCAGCGTCCCAAGAAAGAGCGATGCATTTTCTGGCCGCTTTTACTGCTTTTTTTTTTTTTTAAACCGACTGGAAGAAGGTTGGTCACCGAGATTCTGCCGCGGAGTGACGCTGCCGTCCCCGGCCACGCAAAGCTTTGCAGAGGGACGGACAGACAGAACGACACCACCTGTCAGGGCCAGCGAGGTATGCAGGGAAGAGACAAAAATCTTCCATCGGGGTCCCTGAAAGGTAGCCAAGTCACGCCCCCGTGGTACACAAACACTGAAAGACGGAAGCAGCAAGTTCACAGAACTTTTATCCATTTAATAATTTCTACGCCAACGTCTGGAATAGGACCGGGCACGGCAAAGCCTGTTGGGGCTATCAAAGGATTAGTAACTTGCAATTCTTGCTGTCGCTTTCCCTCCTCTCTTTTGCTTTGGTAGCTGATACTCCCAGAATTTTTTCTCCCTCCTCCTCATTGTCGGCATCTATTAACGGTATTTTCAACTTTCTCTTCTGGCAACTTACACTTAAATAGAAGCTAACGAGCAGTCCAACGTCAACCTTTTCCCTGCCTCACGCTACGTTCAACCACCTGCTGCTTCAAACTCTGCTCCAAAGAGACACAAACCAGCAACATCACCTCACTGCTAAGGAGGCTGCTTCGTATTTTTACTACATCCTGCCCCTTGAAGGCCATCTGGTTTGAGGACGATTCAGAAACCAAAACGGAGGGCAGCAAGGCAACCTGCCTCGCAGGGGGGTAATGACGGGAGGGGGGGCTCGCCCCTCCGGGACACGTGCCAGCGCGAGATCTTTTTGTCCAACCTTACTCTAATAAATTAAAGTCTCCAATTTCCAGTGGAGCACAAAACCACCTTGGAGAACGCGTCATCTTGACATAACGTTTTAGCAGATGGGTACGGCAGCACAGGAGCCAGAGAGAAGCTCGCAGAAGCCACGGTGTTCTCATGGCGGTCGACCACAGGCAGATCCCAGGACCGCAAAGACCTCCTCCTCTTCCTCCCTGACTTGTCGCACCCCTCCTTGCTGCAAGCACTCCCCCGAGCCTGCCACCGTCCCCCCCAGCAGCAGCACAAGCCACCGCCGCCCGCGCACAAGCACGAGGAGGCAGGGGAGGGCACAGCTACAGGGCACACACAGGTACTGGTGCAAGACTTGCCCCTCGCAGTGCTTCACGTGATAATTTTACTCAAATGAGACCCCCACGCAAATTAAAAGCCAGCTCTACGCCCGTTCTAGCACACTCCTTGTAGAGAAGCTCAAACCCACACAGCTGTTCGAACAAAATCCTTGAAACGTTGATGATGTTTCTAGAGAGTTTGAGATGTCACAAGAAAAATTCACATTTTTTTGAGACATTCAACCTTCCAACACATCGTTACTTACTTCACTAACGAAGCAGCTTCAGGAAGCACTTCTGCAAACGTATCACGAAAGACAATCGCATTTTTTCTCTTGCAGTTCTGTATGACGTCATTGGCCAAGTAAAAAAGGTTCAGTCGATGAGGAAAGGCAGCTAAAGACAAAAAGAAAATTCAGATTCATCATCAAGTAGAAGTAGTCATGTCAGACGCATTCTGATAACAACATTTAAGTGCCTGCTTTTGGGTTTTTTCCCAGCATTTCCGTCAACGGCGCGTCCAAGGGCAAGTCCAACGGTCAAAAGTGGGGACTAGAGAGGAAGACTTCAATTTACAAATCACTTCCAGATCTTCCCAAAGACTAAATGTTTGGTAACATCAAGCCTTGACTCTGACTCGGGCTTAGAAAGGACACAAAAAGCCGTTGACCCTGTGCTATTTCTACGATACCCGCGCTGCAAAAGGAACCGTTCAGCCAGAAAGATCAGCACCGCCCGTGTAAGAGGCCAAACACAAAACGGCACGAACTTCTGACTGCTCCAGAGCGCGTGTCTGGTCCGGTCTCCGAAGCTCCAGCATCACCCCGTTTGGCTACTGACTCAGTGCAACCTACCATTTAATAGTTTAGAGGCCACTTATTCATATTTTCTAAGAATCCTCATGTAAAATCTCCCTTTTTTTAAGCTGGAATGGCTTAAAATGGTCTCTAAGGTTGGCAGCTTTATCGGGGAGGTTTTACCAGGCACGTACCTATGTCCACAGGGCACTTAACTACAGAGAGGGAGAGACCTTCTCCACATCCCTTTAAATGCCTCCTATTAATAAACCAATGTTTATTAATATATTTAAGAAGCGCTGCCGGTTCCTCGGACGCGGCTGCCTGGACGGCCCTTTCCGACGTGCGATTTAACGCCAGCCAGGCGCCAGCTTTTGTGCGGCACACAAAGGACCCCGGATCCCCGTCCCTTCTCCTCCAGAGATCGCCATCTCCAAAAACAGCCCCCCTGTCCCTGCTGAGCCGGCACTGACCTTCGCACCCAGACCTGCCACCCACAGCCGTACTCCAAACAACGCACCTCTGATCTTCCTTATATTCAGCTCCAAATTTAATGATTTCATCAAACCTCTTCTTCAGTCAGCCAGTATCAGCGCTTGTAGCGCAGTAAGCTCATCCACATGCTAATTAGCTTCTTCACTTAATTTAACGACACAACGCGAGGATTTAAATATAGGAACGGTGACAATAGACGGTTTTGTTTCACGTGCCCGCGGGCTCTATCAGGTTCCCACCTTCCCCACGTTACACGCCCCCTCCGGCAGTACCCCAGCCGCATTACTGATCGGAGTTTTTCCTCTACAAATCCCTTAATTCTCTATCCTGCTTCATCTTCCAGTTGTCCCTACCTCAGCAGAGCCTCTTCCCGCGGCACGGCTGCACCTCGTGGCTATCCTTGTCTCCGGGTTTCCCGTCGGGAAGCTCTCAGCACCATCCCTGGTCCAGAGCCCTTGGTGGGAGCTCACCCTTACCAACACCGCTCCTGCACTCACGGCCCGTCGCAGAAAAACCCCAAACCACCCACCGCGGCGACTCAATCTCCGGCAGCTCCGAGCTCTCCTCCCACTCAAAGCCAACCAGAAATAAAGCCAGGATTTTCCCAAAACTCATTCACGCCTTAGACCGCGCCTAGGGGAAAGCCACTACATATTTTCCAGCCAACAACAAGCTCACAAGCTTTTATTGGAAATTTAATTGTTAAAGATCGCCTCCCTCTTGTCCAACGTTCCTCTCTGATGCAGAGAAGAGGGTCAGCGGCCACCGATGGACTTCTGGCAAGAGGCCCATCAAAGCAGGATCGTAGCCACAGAAATACGGGGTTAGGACATTTTTAGCGTACTGAATGCAATTATTCAAAAGCCTTATTATAAGGCAAGAGAATCCCTGCTCACGAATGACACGGTGTGCTCGCGTACGGGAGACGCTGGTGCTTCCCAGGACTCCTCTCTGTACACAACTCTCGCCCGTGCTCTCGCACGCCTTTCCTGCAGAAGGGCTCGATCCCGGACGAGGAATCGGCACCAAGCAAGCAGACCTGGGTCCAGCACCCACCTAGCACAGGAGTCCCGGCACGCAGCGAGCTTGCTTTAAAAGCTCACGCTCAAGGAACATTTTGACCGTGTGAGCTCTACGCTGACCTACCAATATTAAGGGATAATTTAGCAAGTTGTTTGTTCAAAATGAAGACCTTTCACAGAAGGCAGCCTCTTCGGGAAAGCAAAGTGGAGGATACAGGCAAAGGCTTAGTTTGGTTTGATCGTCAAATCCTCAACAGGTTGACGCCATGAAGTGAAGAACCTCCAAGAGCCCCTGCGAGTGGCACCGATTCTTCTTGCTCGTTGCTGGCACCCGCCGAGGGTCACTACAGACAGGTGGGTGAGCAAGAAGCATCGTCCGACCCCAAACCCGGGGGCAGGAACAGCGTGGTGGGTCAAGGGGACAGCCAGCCCCCGGGACGTCCCTGCTCTCCACGGCCCCGGCCCCTCCGCCGCCCCTGCCCGCAGCAGCTGCCGGGACACAGGGCCAAAGGCATGAGACCCGAGCCAGGCGTCGCCCAGCCGCTGCCTCCACCAGCGCCGCAGCTGGCTTCTCACCTGAAACTTCGCTCCTCACGTGTTTTTCCAGCTATTTTTTCGCTGGAGATTATTTTTCATCCTTCCCACCAGGCTACTCCAACACAGCTCCGGCAGCTGCCGTGTCAAGGAGCCTCAACTCCCGTGTCCCAGAATAAGCTTTTATAGCAACAAACACAACAAGCCCAAGGATTCCTTACCAGAAAGCGTTATTTACAACCTTCACCCTAAACATGCTTACACGGCAGGTCGGGGTTGGTTTGTTTGAGCGAGGAGTGCTCTGCTCTGCCCGGAGGGCTGGAAATCCAACCGGAGCGGTGCTGCGCTCGCCTGGCTCCCCGAAACGATTGGGAGCCAGCTTTCCCCAAAACGCCAGCCTCGATAATCTATCAGACCATCATCCCAGCAAAATGAGTTTTCTGCAATTTAATTAAAACCCAGCACTCCGCTGCTCATTCACCCACTGGTCACTGGATGCTCTTTCGATCTCAGCGACGTCGTTCACCAGCAGAGAGAGCGCTGATTTCAGACCTTATGCCGTAACGCAAAATAGATCTTGGAAGATATATAAACCTCTGATTTAAACGACTCGACGTATACACAGCCTTCAAATGCAGCAGAAAAACCCAGAGCCAACTTCAAGACAAATGCCACACGGAAGGAGCACAGCTTGCACCATCACCTCCGCCACCGTTTCCACAAGGCTGAACGCGGACCTCAGCCAAGGCAGAATTAATTTAGCTCCTAGATTTAGAGCTAATATTTATAAAACAAGAGTCACCCAAATTGTACAGTAGGAAAAATCCATGCTAGACCAATACCTAGGCTACAGACAAGCTGCACAAAGAAAACCAAGCGCCTTTGGGTCCAAAATGCACTTTGTACGAGGGGTTTCGAGCACATTATGCAACTGGCCGTATCTGACGGGTGAACGGCTTCTTAATTACTCTTAGACTGTCTCGGCTTAAATCGGAGAGGAAATACAGAAAAGAAACAGGAAATTTTATAGCTGAGCCCACCCCAGCTTTTTGCTCAGCTCCAGGACGGCCACCAGCTCCACCGACCGACATCTCTGGGCAGCCAGCGTGTGATGTGTCCAATTTAACTCGCATTTAAGAGCTGTTCACGTGAACGCAGTGACGAGACGACCCTCCTGCAAGAAAGCTCTTGATTCACAACAGAACCTTCCCAGAGGTAAAGTTATCGCAGCGTTACCTCGCAGAAACATTTACGTCGCGAAGCTCTTGGCCAACGGCCGCAGCCGTGACCGGCTGGTGCTCAGGACAAGCCTTGACCCAGGAAGGGAGATGCCCATGCCAAAAGCAACGTATTTAAATACCAGCAACTCATTTTTTTTCCTGAAAGGACACAATCCTTTGTCCAAATAGCCGCATCTTCAGTTAAACTGGACATTGCACATCAGCTGAAACAAGTATCTAACAGCGAAGCGCAGAAAAATCCATCGAGGTAGGGCAAAATGCAGATGCTAGAGAATACCCGCAGCAAAATGCAGCCGTTTCCTCTCAAGAGTGTGCAGGGGGAGAGGGACCGGCCTCCCCCCGGGGCAGGAGCACCCAACGAGACCACCAATGCTCAGGCAAAATCCCTTCACAGCCCGAGGCAGGAGCACCAACTGCCCCGCAGGCCAGCCCAACGCCTACTTACTCTGATTTACAGACGAGAGAGAATAAAAAGGCCTATTCCCCCCTCCCAACACTTGACATTTTCTGCAAGCCTCCTGCAAGAAACCGCCCTCAGCCCAACGCCGGCATCGCTGGAGAGACACTGGGCAAGAACCGCCCTACTCAAGGGTTTCACACTTAACGGAGATGCGCATCCAAGAGATACGAAAGCACTTCACCCCCCGATTAAATGCAGGCGCCTTCATCTTCACCCAGGCAGAGCGCCAAGATGCAGCCCCCAATCCCACCACATCCATCCTTCGCAAGGAGCTCCCTGGAAAAAGCAGCTTTCACGCGTTCTTAGAAGCTTTAGAGTTAAAATATTTAAAAGCTGGAAAAGGAACCCAAAAGCAAGCTGTACTGGCCGTTGTTATTACCACTGAACTCTTCTGGTCGGGACCACGCCTTCCCGCCGCGTGAGAGCACAGAGGGGCTGCGAGGTCCTTGGGGCAGAGAATGAAGTGTACCACGAAGGGAAAAGCAGGAAAAAAAAAAAAAAAGCCCCACATAAGCGGGAAGTAACCAAATAATCAGGGGTCAGGGTACGGCAGCATCACGGCCGCGCCAACGGTTGTTTGAGCTGGTGCCTCGGATAAGATGCTTAAGGAGGAACTTGGACAAACACGAGGGGTGTTGAGGGGAGATCCTCGCGAGGGCTGCGCAAGGAAAGCCTTGAAAGCGCTCCTATCAAACTAAAACAAAAAGTCCAGGCTGGTACCAAGGGCTCAGGGGCAGGAGCCGACAGCCCAGCAGTGGACGTGGGCCGGCAGGGCAGGAACAAAGCGTCAAGGGCCCTGCAAGTGGGAACAATTAAATTTGATGAGCTTGGGAAGGAGGGAAGGAATAACAGAGGAGTGCAAGGGAGAAGGAAGGGGCAGCGCCAAAGCAGCGTCTCTGGAAGCTCAGCCACCTTGGCCAGGAGCTGAAAGACGAATGTCAGCCACGGAGAAGCGGCAGGAGTCCAGGGAAGAGTCTCCGCTCCACGAGCCAGCGGGACGGGAGCTGTAGGACGATAAACATGGGGGAGTTGCGCTGGCACGAAGGCTCCGCGCTCCCGGCGAGCAGCCGGGCAAAGCGAGGACCTGCCCCGAGGCACAGGCAGGGAACGAGGAGCCGCGTCGTGTTGAGCCTGACATACAGCCAGACGTTCACTGAGGTCCTAGAGAGGAGCCAAACTGCGGCTGTGACAAGAGACACCAAGTCCAGAGGCGTCTGCACATCCCGAGGAGAGGCGGGAGCTGGATTTTGTTCGGAGGGGGGCGTGCTCCGGAGCAAGGGGGCGAAGAGGACCAAGGACAGTCCCACAGGACCCCCCTGGTGACGAGGGCTGTCAGAGGGAAGAGGATTTTCAGGAGAGGTGGGCAACGACAGCGAGGCAAGATGGACCAGGGCCAGCTTCTCCTCACCAGCAGGTCGGTACGGACCAGAGAACAGCCCTCGGGCTCTTACCTTACTCTCTTTAATCACGCGGTGTGTGGACAAGAAAAAAACGTAAATCAAAAGCTGGGGGAAGAGGGCCCTCCACACTTTGCAGAAGGGCCTCGACAGAGAAAACAAACTATCCCAAACTTTACAAAAGGTTGATCACAAACCGGAGCGACGCTTTGGGACGGGAACGTTATCTTCGCGTTACTGCAAAGCTTACTTTAACTCCTGCGACAACAGGCAAAACCTTCACACGGCAGCGAGACAGCAGAGATAACGCCGCCTTGTTTAGACTCATGAAAACATTAACTTTCCCACTCTCGGGTCACCGCTGCGTCGCCTGCGGGCGCTCGCCAAATCCGCGCGTTGGCACCCGATACTTATTTGTGCCCACAATAGGCTGCTTTGCCCGTGGAAAGGGACAGCGACGGTCCCTCGCCCCCACGATACCGAAAGGCACCTTTCCCCCCAGCTCTGAAAATAACGTTTTAGAAGATCCCGGGCAAGCACACGCAGAATTCAGGAGGCTGAAGGTGCCACCGTTCGGGTGCAGCCGCGCAATTTCTGTTTTTCTCAGCGTGACAAGGTGATACTAAGCAGAAACCCTGCCCAGGGGCCGCGCAACGCCGGCAGGTTTCCGAGCGATCAGAGGACGTCGGATTTTCAGACGTCGGGTCCGAAACCTCCGGCACTGCACCCCGTCTTTCCCCCCCC